GGCAAGCCTATGGTCTTTTGTTGTTAGTGTTAGAAGTTCTTTGAGAGTGGGAGCGTAGAACTTAGTCCCAATTATCATGAGTGAAGGACTTTTTTGGTGTGAGGACACAGTGATTGCATTTGATAGTAGATTGTGTTAGCTGACCGTACACGGGCGTAAGCATGGTCGACTATGAGTAATGGGATGTCATAGATTGATCATTGCATGTTAGACTGATGGTTTTGGATACAATTTGTGATTAAGATGGTTGCTGCATAGTTTCATAATTGTTTGAATGTCTAAGGACTGAATGTATTGTTTTTCTCATCACTTGATGACAAGTAATGGTTCTAAGTTGAGGGTGTTGATGTGCCGCGAGATCTTGGCACATTTGACTCTTGAAAACTAAGGATTAATACTAGAATCGAGTGTATTTATGTGGATATGATGTATTTGGTAATGTTTGTACAGGTAAAGCAGGTGGATGTGAAAGAAGAAAGAAAATAAGAAAATGCAGAAGAATTGGAACAATTAAAGACCACAGATGGCCTCACGGGCCATGTTCTTCACTACTGATCGTGAATAGGCTCGTGGAGTTGGACCAGTGATCAGGCATCAAGGAGTTAAGATGAGAGTTGACCAAGTGAAGACCACAGGCACCTATACAGACCATGGTCATTGTCACGAGTTGTAATTTTTCCTATGGTGACTTTCCAGTGTAGAGGCATTGAAGACCCAAGTTTGGAGAAGTGTAAGTGAAGACAACAGGCACCTATACGGACCGTGGTCATTTTCAAGGGTTGTGGTGTTGCCCATGGTGAATTTTCAGTGGAAAGGCATTGAGAACCCAAGTTTAGAGAGGTGCAAGGAAAGACCATGAACGGCTTTTGACAGACCGTGGTGGCACCCGTGAAGATGCACGACAGATCTGTCCTAGTTCGAGTAGGACTCTTTTTAGACACTTTATTTGAATTAATTAGGGTGTTTTTAGTTTTTATCTCATCTTATCTTGAATGAGGGACTAAGTTTCAGATATTGTTAGCTTTAGTTTTTGACGGTTAACATTGAATCAAGTTTCGAAGTTGGATTTCCAGTTATGAATTATCAAATGCTTATCGATTTTGCATATTTTACTAAGTACTTTATTATCATGTTTTCATTATATAATTTTGTATGTTTACGTGAAATCATGAGATACTAAATACCACAACTGGGATTGTGGGATCTATGACGTAAATCTAAGTGTCATTCGGTTAGACAAGTGGAAGGCGATTTGTATTTGCAAACTATAATTTAGCTTTTGCTATTCATGTATTCTAATGAGTGAACACATTAGAGTGTAGCCTGTATTTATCATTTGTTCGAGTGAAAAATGATTGTTGGGAAAAAGCTGAATTAATCTGATGAAATGGAGTCAAAGTGTCATGACCCAGGGGTACACCCTAGACGTAACATGGCGTACTTGACCCCAAAGGGATCTCATACAAGCCCTTAGCATACCATAACATACGCTAATAGAAAAGTACGGCAATTTAAAAAGTTAATCCATACAATCGAAAACATTTTCATAAAGCAAGCAGGAGTCTTTACTACACTTTTGTCTCAAACCATCTACTAAAAACTCTTGAATAAAACTCTTGGGACGCAGCCCATATAAAGTCTAAAACATAAATAAACGACATAAGGAAATAACAAGTTTGTCCTCGAAGCTATGAGGACTCACCAAATCTTCAAGTCTTCTTGCTCCTTAGAAACCTAGCCTCCAAAGGAACTCAATCTATAAAACCCTACATTTGATTAGAATGTACGCAAAGTATGCGTTAGTACAAAATGTACCAAGTATGAAAGCTAGCACCACATCATAAGAGCATCTCAAAATGGTTAGTCAACATAAGACATAAGCATAAGAGATAATCACATAAACATAGCATAATCTCTAACATAAGCATTATATAGTCACAAGTCAACAAAAGACATAATAATGAGCATAGGAGATACATCATGTTCATAGCATAGTCTCTACTTAGACATTCATATTTACATACTTCAACCTTTGGTCATTTAAATTGCAAGAGAACTACTTCACCTCAAAGCATACTTGTACAAGGCAAGAATAGCATCACATAATACCATCCAAGCTAAGTACCACTTTTTGGTCATTCTTGAGCATAGTCCACATTCATAGTCAAAACTTAGGTTTTCATGTCATGGACATGTCTTAGGCTTTCATAAGTAGCTTCAAGTTATACGTTGTGCAATGCATGAGTAGCACCCCATAGTACTACCCATAGTAACCACAACTATTGGCCATCATACTAATCACCTTAGGATCTTGTTACTTAGCTTAACTTTCATGACCAAGGGAAACTTTAACCTCTAGTCAATACTAACAAGGAAGGCAACTTTGGCACAACCCTATCTCAACATACAACTTATAAGAAACACATTCTTGATTAACCCTAAGTCTCCTTGTGCAAGGCATGAGTGGCATCCTATACTACCAATCATACTAAGTATAACCTTTATCTTCTTATAATCTTGCTTCTTGGTTTGGAACCTAGTTCCTCTCTTGAACTCTAGAACCCTATGAGGTACTCTCTTAAGCACATCTTAGTTCTTTATTAGGTTGAACCCTATGAGATACTACTTTAAGCATGTCTAAATTCATTATTACTTTTGAACTCTATGAGTTACTTTATTAGGTAGGTCTTAGTTCAATTATGCTTTTGAACACTATGAGATGCTTCTTCAAGCATATCTTAGTTCATAGGATATGGAGATTGCTACTAGAACCCTTCACTCAACTATGTGAAGGCTTCCATCTTATGAGACCTAACTTGGGGAAAATCCACACTCTACTATGTAGGAGTTCCCTCTTTACTTGGATAGTCCTCACATCAACTAGGTGTGGTTCTCCTTTCAACTTGGAGCCCGAACCCTACCTTGTGTGACCCTCCATTCTCATTGTAAATATCCACTTGAGGGAAAGCATGCACCCCAAGATTTACACCATTAAACCTTGATTAACATTCATGTCTCATGGAAGGGATTTCCTTGACAACCAATCCATGTTCAAGTGATCTCATCACTTTATACTTTCAAGCATTCATAAGGTAGGTTAGGTGAGTATAGGCCTTTCACCATAATTCTACCTATAAGACTCCTATTCATCACATTAACCCTATCTCGAAACTCTAGTGATTCGACATTCATGATTACAAGCCTTACTCTCAAAGCCCTACTTCATTCTATCATCATTCATATCTAGGTCACAAGACATTCAATCACATTCTTCATTGTTAGGTGATTCTTAGTCATAATTCATCCTGCAAGATAAATCTCAAGCCTTACAAGTCGACGCCCATCATATTCAAATTCATCAATTTACACTAGGTAACCACGAAATTCATATAAATTCATCATAATATCACGAATAAAAATTAAATTAACCATAAACAAGTAGTATCCAACCTATTGGAATCATACCCAAATATTGCCACACTTTGGAAGAAACCCTAGCTTAGACTAGGGTTCTTCTTCACAAATTTGGGGGATTTCTAAGGGACTCTATGGGTGCAAGAACCCATAGATGAATAAGCTAAACATAACTTTAATCAAAGCCCAAACACAATCCTTCAATAATGTAGCCTTTGTTCTTGACCTTAGCTTCAAACTCTAGCTTCTTCTTCAATAGAGATTTTCTAGAGAGAGAAATATTTGAGAGGGGAGTAATTTGGGGTTTTGATTCTAAATGACTTAGTTAGGGTGGTAATGAATTAAAATACTATATATTGGTGTATAAATCCCATATAAAATGACCCCCATTTAATACTAACTAAATATGAATTTCCTATTTTGACCCTCAAATCAGCAGCCTCGTCCAGGGACTACGATCACTATGATGGCCCGTCAAGGGCACCACGGCCTGTGGTCCCTTGGAAGCAGCCTCCCCAACATGCCATGCCTCCCATGAGGCAAAGTCATGACCACGAGACCTTCCACGATCCCTGGTCAAGACCATGAGTCATTGTGATGGTCGTGGTCTTAAGGCAGTAGCTAGGCCTCAAGGCATTGCCTCCCACAATTTTAAGGGGGTTTCACGGGCCCCTTCATGGACTGTGGTCATGAAGGTTGTCGTGAACCTTGGGCAGTGCTAGGCCAAGGTTGGGTATTCTTGGCCTTTGGCTTAGTCCTTTCCCCCTAGGCTTGGCACTTGCCTTTACTACCCTCAACCAAACCCTAGGTGGTCTTCTATACTATGAGGTATAACACGTGCCTTGACGTTTAACCACTAAGCCACTCATTCTAAGAACGGGAAGCCTCATCTACGACTCTAATCCTCAACATCAAACTTTAGAACCCTAGCTTAAGGATCTAGTTTAGTCTAATAATTTTCGGTGAATTACAGTATCTCCTCCTTGGGAACATTCATTCTCAAATGACATCACTAAACATTTCTTATAGGAAACGACTCTAGACTAGCAGCCCATAATGCATGCAATACATATAAATGCACACAACCAAAGAGAAAAACTTCAACTCCGAGCTAAAAGAACTCAATGCAACACAATGGAGTAGGTACTACATCTACCAATCCATTATGCATGGAATTTTTTATTTTACTCATTTTCAAGGAGGAATTACCATATCCTAACGATAACATGCTCAACACACGTTCATGGAGCCTAAATGCAATTTACTCTGAAAAAACATTTATTCTAGGAGGAATCTTTCAACCCCAAAATAAAGCATGCTCACAACTCATCTCATGAAGTCAATTAGGCAACTCATGCTCAAAGCACTACAATATGAGGTAAAAGAATGCACATAAATCATTTCTACCAATACCTAAGCTTTTCATGAACATGCATATAAGTAAATCATGGAAACACATAAACACACAATAACCTTACTAGTTAGGCATACTATATCCCCTTTGGGAGCAAGCCTCTACAGATTTTTAACAAAGCATAAACAATCAATTAAGAAGCTATTACATATCGGAAACCACGTGAAGATCACTATTGATCATCCCTAGCTTGGAGGTTATAAAACCTATTCTTTTCTTGGGGCTCCTCATCAACACCACTAGAGTCAACTTTATTTCCCTCTCTTCCTTTTGTCTTTAGAACCAGACAATCTCTCATTTTGTGCCCACTCTTCACAAACCTATAGCTACCATCCATGCTAGCTAGGCACTTACCATAATGACTTCTCCCACACTTGGAGCAAGTAGTCATAGGCAATGGAGACCCACTACCTTTATCTTGGTCAAACCTAGGGGTGTTGGAAGAATCTTTACCAGAATACTTTTGTTTAGACCTAGGCCTACCTTGACCATCAGACTTAGCATTAGAAATTTCTCCCTCATTGGAGAAAATTCTCCCTCATTGGACGTAGCTCTCTTCATTTACCTATTCTTTTTCTTAAGCTTTGACTCTTTTATTTGTTGGAAAAATACTATGAGATGTGAGATGTCCAAATCATTGTGGAGCATTACCGCACGACATTCTTGTTCTACTATGTTGGACACCCCCGTCATGAACCTATTCATCGAGTACCTTGGATGTGCTGCCAAAGATGGAGCATACTTAGACAAAAGAGTGAATTTCAAGGCATACTTATTAACATTCATGTTACCTTGCTTAAGATTTATGAACTCTTCCATCTTAGCCTCCCTCAACTCCCGAGGAAAGAACCTATCAAAAAAGGCCGAATTAAATGCTTCCCATTCTATTGGGCCCGCTTCTACCGGTCCAACATCTTTCCATTGCTCATACCTCATTTGAGCAACATCCTTCAATTGGTAAGCGGCTAGCTCTGCTTTATCTCTCGAAGTCACTCCTATAATGGCAAGTATCTTGTACACCTCTTCTATAAACCCATTTGGATCCTCTTCCACCTTGGAGCCATAGAACTCCGGAGGGTTCATCCTTCAAAACTCCCTTACTCTAGAAGCATCCATCCCCCTTATAGGGTTTGCCGGAGCCACAACATCACTATTGGCTTGCGCCATTAAGTCTTGAGCCAACAGTTGCATAGAAGCCCTAAACTCCGCAAGAGTGACATTCTCCACTGGAGGGTCATTTGGAGCTTGAGGAGGAGCTTGGGGTGGAACTTGGAGAGGAACCTATTGCTCTCCATAGTCTTCGTCATCCCTCCTAGCATTAGCCCTTGTATTAGCCATACCCTGAAAAATCATAGGGCACACATTAGAAGAAGGACCTACTAGATCTAAACTCTATAGAACGACTTAGAGAATGAAAAAATGAGATTTCCTAATCACCCAATAAATTGCTATTCATAAATGTGGCTCGATTAACATTTATGAACAAGATTCTACTAGACGTGGTTTGAGACAATCCTAGAACCATTCTAAAACCTTGTGCTCTGATTACCAAGTTTGTCACGACCCAGGGGTACACCCTAGACGTAACATGGCGTCCTTGACCCCGAAGAGGTCTCATACAATCCCTTAGCATACCATAACATAAGACAATAGAAAAGTACAGAAATTTAAAAACTTAATCCATACAATCGAAAACATTTTCATAAATCAAGAGAAAGTCTTTACTACACTTTTGTCTTAAACCATCTACTAAAAACTCTTGAATAAAACTCTTGGGACGCAGCCCATATAAAGTCTAAAACATAAAGAAACGACATACGGAAATAACAGGTTTGTCCTCAAAGATATGAGGACTCACCAAACTTCAAGTCTTCTTAGTTCTTAGAAACCTAGCCTCCAAAGGAACTCAATCACTGATACTCTACATTTTATTAGAATGTAGGCAAAGTATGCATTAATACAAAATGTACCAAGTATGAAAGCTAGCACCACATCATAATAGCATCTCAAAATGGTTAGTCAACATAAGACATAAGCATAAGAGATAATAACATAATCATAGTATAATCTCCAACATAAGCATCATATAGTCGCAAGTCAACAAAATACATAATAATGAGCGTGGGAGATACATCATGTTCATAGCATAGTCTCTACTTAGACATTCATATTTACATACTTCAACCTTTGGTCTTTCATATTGCAAGAGAACTACTTCACAAACCACCTCAAAGTATACTTGTACAAGGCAAGAATAGCATCCCATAAAACCATCCAAGCAAAGTACCACTTTTTGTTCATTCTTGGGGATAGTCCACATTCATAGTAAAGACTTAGGTTTTCATGTCATGGACAAGTCTTAGGATTTCATAAGTAGCTTCAAGTTATACTTTGTGCAATGCATGAGTAGCATCCCATACTACTACCCACACTAAGCACTACTATTGGCCATCCTACTAATCACCTTAGGATCGTGTTACTTAGCTTAACATTCATGACCAAGGGAAACTCTCACCTCTAGTCAATACTAACAAGGAAGGCAACTATGGCACAACCCTATCTCAACATACAACTTATAAGAAATACTTTCTTGGTTAACCCTAAGTCATACTTGTGCAAGGCATGAGTGGCATCCCATACTACCAATCATACTAAGTATAACCTTTAGGTTCTCATACTCTTGCTTCTTGGTTTGGAACCTAGTTCCTCTCTTTAACTCTAGAACACTATGAGATACTCTCTTAAGCACATCTTAGTCCTTTATTAGGTTGAACCCTATGAGATACTACTTTAAGCATGTCTAAATTCATTATTACTTTTGAACTCTATGAGTTACTTTATTAGGTAAGTCTTAGTTCAATTATGCTTTTGAACATTATGAAATACTTCTTCAAGCATGTCTTAATTCATAGGATATGGAGATTGCTACTAGAACCCTTAACTCAACTATAAGAAGGCTTCCATCTCATGAGACATAACTTTGGGAAAACCCACACTCTACTATGTAAGAGTTCCCCCTTTACTTAGATAGTTCTCACATCAACTATGTGTTGTTTTCCTTTCAACTTGGAGCCCGGACCCTACCTTGTGTGACCCTCCATTCTCATTGTAAATATCCACTTGAGGGCAAGCATGCACCCCAAGATTTACACCATTAAACCTTGATTAACATTCGTGTCTCATGGAAGGGATATCCTTGATAACCAATCCATGTTCAAGTGATCTCATCACTTTATATTTTCAAGAATTCATAAGGTAGGTTAGGTGAGTATAGGCCTTTCACCATAATTCTACCTATTAGACTTCTATTCATCACATTAACTCTATCTTAAAACTCTAGTGATTCGACATTCATGATTACAAGCCTTACTCTCAAAGCCCTACTTCATTCTATCATCATTCATATCTAGGTCACAAGACATTCAATCACATTCTTCATTGTTCAGTGATTCTTAGTCATAATTCATCATGCAAGATAAATCACAAGCCTTACAATTCAAGACCCATCATATTCACATTCATCAATTTAGACTAGGGTAAGAACGAAATTCATATATATTCATTATAATATCATGAATCAACATTAAATTAACCATAAACAAGTATTATCCAACCTATTGGAATCATACCCAACTATACCCACACTTCGGAAGAAACCCTAGCTTAGATTGGGGTTCTTCTTCACAAATTTGGGGGATTTCTAGGGACTCTATGGGTGGAAGAACTCATAGATGAATAAGCTAAACATACCTTTAATCAAAGCCCTAACACAAGCCTTCAACAATGGAGCCTTTGTTCTTGACCTTAGCTTCAAACTCTAGCTTCTTCTTCAATGGAGGTTTTCTAGAGAGAGAATTATTTGAGAGGGGAGTGATTTGGGGTTTTAATTCTAAATGACATAGTTAGGGTGGTTAATGACTTAAAATACTATATATAGGTCTATCAAACCCATATAAAATGATACCCATTTAATACTAACTAAATATGAATTTACTATTTTGACCCTCGACTAGGCAGCCCCGTCCAGAGACTACAACTAGTTTGACGGCCCGTGGTGGTGCCCCAACTTTCCATGCCTCCCATGAGGCTAAGTCATGATCACGAGACCTCCCACTATCCCTGATCAAGAGCACGAGTCGTGGTGATGGTTATGGTCTTGGTGCAGTAGCTAGGCTTCAAGGCCTTGCCTCCCACAATTCTAAGGGGGAATCACGGGCCCCTTCATGGACCATGGTCATGACCAATTGTCGTGAAGGTGGTCGTAAACCATGGGCAGTGCTTGGCCAAGGTTGGGCAGCTTAGGCCTTGCCCCCTTAGCTTGGCACGTGCCCTTGCTACCCTCAACCAAACCCTAGGTGGTCTTCTATACTATGAGGTATAACCAGTACCTTGATGTTTAATCACTAAACCCCTCGCTCTAGGTACGGGAAACCTCATCTACGACTCTAATCCTCAACATCAAACCCTAAAACCCTAGTTTAAAGATCTAGTTAGTCTACTAGTTTTCGGGGCATTACAATATCTCCCCCTTGGGAACATTCATCCTCGAATGACATCACTAAACACTTCTTATAGGAAACAACTCTAGACCTGCAACCCATCTTTCATGCAATACATATAAATGCACACAACCAAAGAGCAAAACTTCAACTCCGAGCTAAAATAACTCAATGCAAAACAAGGGAGTAGGAACTACATCTACAAATCCATTATGCATGAAATTCTTTATTTTACTCATTTTCAAGGAGGAATTAGCACCTCCTAACTATAACATGCTCAACACACGCTCATGGAGCCTAAATTGAATTTACTCTCAAAGAGTATTTATTCTAGGAGGAATCTTTCAACTCTAAACTAAAGCATGCTCACAACTCATCTCATGAAGTTAATTAGGCAACTCATGCTCAAAGACCTACAACATGAGGTAAAACAATGCACATAAGTCATTTCTACGAAGAACTAAGCTTTTCATGAACATGCATATAAGGAAATCATGGAAACAGAGAAACACACAATAACCTTACTAGCTAGGCACACTATCTCCCCCTTGTGCAAGCCTCTACGAATTTCTAGCAAAGCATAAACAATCAATTAAAAAGCTATTACATACCGGAAGCCACATGAAGATCACTCTTGATCATCCCTAGCTTGGATGTTATAGAACCTATTCTCCTTTTGGGGCTTCTTATCAACCCCACTAGAGTTAACTTTCTTTTCGTCTCTTTCTTTGGCCTTCAGAACGGGACAATCTCTCATTTTGTGCCCACTCTTCCCACACCCATAGCAACAATCCATGCAGGCTAGGCACTTACCATAGTGACTTATCACACACTTGGAGCAAGTAGTCTTAGGCCTTACCGCCTTGGCTTGGCACTTGCCTTTGCTACCCTCAACCAAACCCTAGGTGGTCTTCTATACTACGATGTATAACAGGTGTCTTGACGTTTAACCACTAAACTCCTCATTCTAAGTACGAGAAGCCTCATCTACGACTCTAATCCTCAACATCAAATTCTAAAACCCTAGCTTAGGGTTCTAGTTTAGTCTACTAGTTTCCGGGGCATTACTCAAAGTTCAAGTCCAAGAAGAAAGAGCTTTAACACTATTATAAGCGAGAGTAAAAATTGTTAAAACTCTAGGACTGGGAGGACTTGAGTGAAAATTATCTAATTAGACTGAGATGTGTTAGATATATTTGACTCGCCTGTATTTTGTAGAGACAAATTGCCTGAAACTTAATGACGGAAGAACATTAGATGCAACGTTATGGGGAACACACTCCTAGTTTTATTCAATTATAAATAAAACAGTAAAATCAAGACTCTGTTAATTGTGAACTCCAGATTTGGCTTAACAACCTTAGTTACTAGAATTTTACCACTAAACCCAATTTACTTTCTACAATCTTTCTGTTTATGAAATAATAACAACATTTGGGTAAATTCACTGTTGAGTTTACCCAAATGTTGTTATTATTTCATAAACAGAAAGATTGTAGAAAGTAAATTGGGTTTAGTGGTAAAATTCTAGTAACTAAGGTGGTTAAGCCAAATCTGGAGTTCACAATTAACAGAGTCTTGATT